AGGGGAACGAACTGGGACAGGCTGTCCGCCAGGACATTGGACAACCCCTGGACGTGAACCCCCCAGGAGAGCCAAACCTTGAGAACTCAGCAGACGAGTTACCCGAAGCGACCAACTCCAAAGAGCCTAGAACCGCATCGAACTCCCTCGGTTCAGACAATGAACCACCGAGGAGCAGTCCGAATGGAACCGGATCATCGATCTGCGGACGACCTGATCCCTCAGAAGTGCAAACCACACCACCGCAAACTCCCGCACCGTGCTGTGAGCCCGACAGAAGGACAGACCCCACCGCCCCTGGCCGGCCTGGTGAGTACTGGTCACAAAGCCCCAGCCGAGAGACGACACGTCTGTGAACACATCGAACGAAGGCTCGGGTAGGCGCCAAGGCATAGAACCCCGAAAAACCCAAAGAGGAAGCTGGCGACGCAGCCGCCAACACAAGGCCCCCCAGGGTCGAACCCAGCGATTGCGAGAGGGGCAGAAGGAACGTCCCCGAAGGAACCAGAACAGCCGACAAAGCCAAACCCGACTCGGCTGGTAGACCAACATCGCAAAGTTCAGGCTCCTGGACAAACCCCTCAAGTAACCGCCGGGTAACCTTGGAGCCCCCCCCCCCCCCAGAAACAAGCACATACGGGATTTCAGTTGAAGGAGATACGCCGGAGGAAGAGACAAGGAAGCGGTCCGAGAGTCCCAGATAAGACCCAGCCAGAACCGAACCTGGGAGGGAACCAGATGGTACTTCCTCCAGTTCAACAGGAACCCGAACCCAGCGAGCTGGGAAAGCGCCAAATCCCCAGTGAGCAGACATGCGGACCGACTGGGGGCCCAAACCAGCCAGTTGTCGAGGTAAGCCAACACCCGAACACCTAACAGACGCAGACGGGCTACCACGACCCGGGTAAGGCGTGTAAACATGCGAGGTGCCAGATTCAACCCGAACGGGAGACAACGAAAGTGGTAACACTACACCCCACAACAAAACCGGGCCGGTCCAGAACCCCAGATGAATAAGGACGTGCCAATACATGTCCTTGAGGTCCAGGGACACCATCCAAGTGCCAGGCTCCAGCAGAAGCTCGACCTGGGACAGAGTGGTCATCCGAAGCGAGGGGCAAGAAACCCAAGGGTTCGGATGGGAGAAGTCCAGAATGAATGAACCCCAGGTCTGCACAGTCCCATTTTGGAACTGGAAACGGGCGGGAGACCCACCTGAGAGACGTTATCGTTTCGACCACACCCAAGCGCACGCACTCCAAGATGACCCGACAGAGCGCAGGAGAGGAAGCCTGCCCCGTCAGCCCCGATCCTCCCGAAGGAGGAGGGGCCACCCAACGCCACCACAGGTCAAAAGAAACGACCCAAAAAGCCCGCAAATCGTGAGACCAGGCGTGAGCGAACAGGGCAAGCCTCCCCCCTCCCCCATTGCCCCATCGTGGGGCAAACCGGGAAAGGGCCACTGCCCCTTACGAGAACCCGACCTGTGCGCAGAGCGAACACTGTGCAGACCATGCGCAGTCGGGACCACTGGCGGCACCAGCACCGAACCCGACACCTGTGGCTGACCTTGGCGAACGGAACCGCGAGCCCTGACACGACCCCACCGGGAAGGAACAAGTCAGACATAGGATGGCAAGTGGAAGAAGTTACCTGAATATAATACTCATCCGCAGAAGCCTCAAAAAGCAAAGGACAAAAAGGAGACGACAACCAAAGAACCAGGGCCCAAGCGGATTCCAAGGAGGAAGCCAGAAGCACCTATCGACACACAAAACGTGCAGCAAAAAACCGCAGCAACGCCTCTCGCAGGATCGGCGCAAACAGCTTCAAAAGAGCAGACGACGCACGAGCAGCCGAGACTAAGGCACCAGACCCAGAAATGGCTCCAAGCACATCTACATCCTCCGCATGCCAATCCAAAGACAGCTCCAGGAGAGAAAAGAAATGCAGGACCGATGCCAAAAAGCCACGAGCGCATAAGTCCTCAGCCACAAGTGCAGTCGACAGGGAAGGAACCTGCACATGAAGCTGAACCGCACCAATACCCCACAAAAGGGCAGGAGCGAAAAGGCACTCATTAAGATGCTCAAAATCCCCCTACCCCAGGTAAACCTGGACAACAGTCAACGCCTCGTGCCACTCAAACATGCGGGTCCGACAGAACGAGTCCCAAGCATCCAACGAAAACAAGGGGCAGTCTGCAAGCCAGGACGACCCGGAACCTCTTAATGCACCCAGTAAGGACACGAAGATCCAAACCCGAACGAAGAAGGATCCATTATGGAGGCATACTCCAGGTCTGACGCAGGAGGTAAGCCGCAATGGCCGACCGCACCTCAGGTGGTGAAATGCGAAAAGCCGAAAACCTTCGGAAAGACGGAACCGAAGGATCCGCAGGGACACGGAACTAACCCGGGGAGGAGCTGAATCCAAGTCCAAATCGTACGCAGAGGGAGAGAAAAAATCCCACTCCTTGCAACAGTAAGCCCCGCTCAGAAGGATGGAATATCCAGGCGGAGTCCAACAAAGCACAAGGCCCCCAAGTCGGCTCCTCCCCAACACCGGGAACCTCCACCTTAGGCCCCGGGGCCGAGTCGTCCTCCAAAGCCCCGGCCTCACACGAAAAAGCCGGGGCAGGCGGAAGAGAAGGGGCCCCACTGGTCAGACCCCGGAGGAACGGCTGGAGGAACAGGCTCGAATGCCTCCGTAGCCACCCCGGACAGGGCAACCCCCGAAACTGCCCAAGTCTCAGAAACCTCTAAACCTCGCCCCCGACCCCGAAGCCCTCAGACGCTTTGGGGCCGGAAACAGGGGGGAGGGGGACCAAATGAACCACCAAAGGGGAAGAATGAGGGGGTGCTGACAAAACCAAGGCCGATGCGACCAACACCCCCAAGTCCGAGTCCCTATAGGTAAAGCGGGGCGGCCTCAGGCTTCTGGGGAAGCGACAACCCGAGCGTGTTGCAATAACCTAAACCTATCTTGTAATGCGCGCGCTGCCTGCACCTGAAGAAAATCATCATCAGTTTGGGTGAATTGAGTCACAAACAAGCAACAAAGCTCGCAGGACTCGGGGTGGAATGTGTCACTAACCCAACAGGCAGTATGACGAAGGCAAAAACTATGAGTGTTGCACTGAGATAAAGGGACAGAGCAACCCTGAAACCCGCACAAAGCGAGAGGGGAACGCAGAGATCTCCTCCATCGGACCCGAGTGCCCCTGCAGGGTTTTCCAGGGCTCCTAGATTTGGTCTGCTTAGGGTTATCCCAGACAGGGTACTGTCAACTGGCGCTCCAAACTACCAAGCAAACTGCTGAAAGCTGAACTCAAGGGTCCACTCACGAGGGTGAAGCAGGGGTGCCATCACACAAAACGACTCTAATATGATGGGGGAGGGAGAACACAAGGCAGACCCCCCCCCCCCCCTCCCACCAGGCAAAAAGAAAAAGAAAAGAAAAACCTCGCAAGAGGACAACGTACCCAAAGAGAACAGAGCTGGCCACTTTTAAAGGTGAAAACTAGCTACGCAGTACCCCGCACCCCACCAGTGCAACAACTATCACTTGCCCCATGGCAAACAAGGATGGAAACCCCCCCCACACACTCGGGGCAGTCAAACGCCAAGCAGCAAAAGGCCAACAGAGGTAGACCCAAGGTGACTTGTGGAAGGGAACCCCAAGCCCCAAGGGCAGTACTTAGAGGGCACTCAGGTAAGGTGACCCTGAGCACATGCAGCCTGAGTACCTGTGAATATTACTCCCAGCTCACACGACCACCATAAGAGCAGCACTGAGAGAAGACCGGAGCTGAAGCTGCACGACTATGCACGACTATGCACAATCCCATCAGCCGAGGAACTGGAGTAAGGATTGCCGGCGCGAGGGTCTGGGCCTTCCCCTTCCCCCCTCCCAGGGAGGGGGGGAGCTGTGCAAACATGCAACGCGGCTCGTGTGTTGTCATGCTTGTTTGCTTGTTTTCTGGGTGCCTATCCCGGTCGATGGCAGATATAGAATGCTCCAAATCACATGTGCATTTCTATGGGCCATTGCTCCTCGTTTCTCTGTGAGGTGGCCAGGTTCTGACTCGTGGTTCCCGGTAGGCCTAGAACTCCATCCACATCAACTGATGAAAATAGTTAGGGTATCCATATCAGCCATGGATAGCTCCGGGGAGCCGTAGGGGCTCCCACCCCCCCCAAAAAAAAGAGCTATTTTAATAGGTATAAACTGAAAGCAAAGCCACTGCTGAATACCACCAGTGCTGTACCATAGAAATATGAAAACAAAAGCCTGAAAAATAATCAAGGACACCCGAAGACCTGTATTGCTGTAACACTAACTGGGAACAGTTCACTAGCTGAGAAGTACACAAAGGATTCAAAGATCCATCTTATGAAAATGGACTAATTTTATCTTAAAGAGAAAAAGGGTCCTTACTGCTGGCTAACATAGGACACAGTCGACAAGTATAAGAGGTGGCACAACTGTGGACGACCTAAAGGGAATGTTAGGGAGGATTCCATAATGTTTGATTTTATGAACAGACCTGTCATTCATTCTTAGCAGGATTGTTTTCTTTCCAGTGATTCCTTAGTATCTTAAATGACCATACAGGGAAAGTTTCCTAGGGCACTATTACACCTAGGGCACCTGATTGGAAAAAATCCAGTCCAATGAACACAGTGGATCATAGCTTAGGGAGCAGCAGAATAAATTAGCTCAGAAAGGGAAGAGATTAATTTTGGAGAGAACTGCTGTGGCATAACTTAGGTGTTTGATAATGTTTGACATCTCACTTCTGTAACGGTTTGAAAAAGATGTTTTCAAAGTTAGTTAGAGAGAACATTACAGATTTTGTAATTTAGTATAAAAAGAATCTCAGACACTATTATTTTTAAATAATTGCTGCAGTGTTGCAGTTAACAAAAAAAATTCTGGTAAAAGGCATTGTCTATAGAAAGTTAGTTAATATCTTCAAGAATTGGCCAACTTTGCAGATACTCCATCTAATGGCATGCCAATGAAAGTAGAGGTACCCCTTGGAGCACCAACTCATACATTACAGCACAGTAATAGTCTCCAAGGATCCGTCTCGCACACAAATGGTGTGCAGAAAGCTTGCGTTTCTCAGCCAAATACTACATCAAGGGGCTGCATGTCTCAACCAAGTGGAGGACACAGTAGTGCCCTCATCAATACTGCCAACTTCAAAAACAGACAGATGGAAATTACAAGTCAACAAAATGGAGGATTTAGGGTGATTCCTATCCAGCAAAGTGAAGAAGAAATTAGGGTCATACCTAAACATACTGGAGGATTTAAGGCCAACATGCCTGACACAAAAGGGTTATCAAATATTTTTAAAAATCAAGGTGAGATAAGAACCCAAAGTAGAGTATACTTCAGAATTTTGTCCTTAGTCTATCCTTAATATCACCAATCAGTTTTGGCCATTGATTGTTAGAAATAAAGTATATTTTTTAAGATGTGAAACAGTTTTTAGCAGCATGGCTATTGTTTCACCAGATTAATAACAATATCTGCTATAGTTAAGATATATATTTATTTATTTATTTATTAAAATATATTTATGTAAAGAGATCAGTTACAAGAACTGTTTGGAATAAAAAGGACAATTTAATGCAAACCAGAATGTGATTAATGATTTAAAATCTGATACATCTTTTTGTCCATATAAATTTTTTCATAAAGTAATGCAATTCTTGGCATCTTCTGGTACTGTATAGTACGTGTATCCACCGATACTGATGAAGCTCGGAGCAGGGGCGGCCACTTCCCTGGCAAGACTGTTATTGTCACACACAAGATTGGTATGAATACCCTCAGGAATTTTGTGTCAAAGATGGTGTGGGGTTGGGATGTAGACTGACAAGCACATCTGTTAATTATTTTGTTGTAAAGGACTTTGGTAATTTTCAAGAGGTGGTGGTGGTTGCATGATAAGACTTCAAAAATGCTGGTGAAGGATACTAATCATACTGTTCAAAATGTAGAAAATTATGCATTATCCTTATGTAGAAAAGAAAAGGGGGATAGAAAATAGTAATCACCAGGTGTTTTTATTTCTTGTTTTGTTGCAGATATACTGGGTTTGTGGTCAAGATAATTGACCATGATGGGAATACTGTATCATGATATATTTCTTCCACTTATTGGGTGTGGCATCAATTTACTCATAGCCTTCTAAATAGTTACATTTTGTGTGTATCTATTGGTATTGTAACTACTGTACAGATTTTCAGTGGGAAACAGGGATTGATTCTGTATAGCAATTGCCTCATGTTATTATGTGGAATATGCTCCCACTTCTGGCCCTCTTCCTGTTAATCATATATTAACTGGCATGAGGATTCCATAGCCCAGTGGGATGTCTCGTGTATTTACATTTGAATCCATAAATGTAGTTTACCTTCACAACTCTCTCATATATTCCACTTCCTTGTTCTCTTGCTTATTTGGATGTTCGGCTTTTTATCCCTTCGACTTAAGTTCCTCACTTTCAAGCCGTTTGTCTTTATACACTTTGTTGATTCCTCCAATTATCTGGTGATATTTATGTCCCCTGTGTGATGTCTACCCTTTGATCCTGTTACCTTTCTAACTATAAATAGTTGCTGTTCCCTCAGTTGATATGTTAGCAGGCTCCTTTTTCCTGCTTCTAGTACCAACTTATCAATCCTTTTTTTTTTCAACATGGGTTCAAGAGTGTTTGCCATCTAATTCCTTTCAGTGCTTATCATAACCCTTTCCCTACTAGTTTTCCTGAAACATGTCTGTATCCTGCAGTTTTCTGTAATCCTCTGATAATTATATTCTTATTGGTTTACATTATCTGCAATCAATGCTATGAAAGTGTCAGTGTCTCCATGCAGGTCATTCATGTATATCAAGAACATTTTGGGTGTGAGTAGCCTATACTGACCATTTATGGAATTTGACACCTTGACCCATCCCAGTATCTCTCTTATTCTGATTACCATCCTAAAGTGCTTAATTACCCAGAGCAGTAGCTTGTCCTTCCAATTTTTGTTGCCATTTTTACAATTAGTAAATAGCTTTCTGTCGAGAATCATGTCAAATGCTTCTGTCAATCTCGGAACATTCAGTCTGTACTCCTTTTTCCTTCCCTCTCTAATTTATCACCTTTCCATAAATTGTATGAATGGGGGAAGGGGGGGGGGAAGCTGTTCATCTGTCTGTCCGTCAGGTTAATTAGTTACATGCCTCAAATTGACTCTTCTCGCCCACATCTTTTTCCTACCCCCTTTGTTTGTCTTCCCTTGTTGGTGATAAATTTCTTACTGATTTATCTTTGCCCGCTTTCATTGTAATTTAGTATTAACAACATTTATAGGGATTCATTACCACACTTAAGCATGTCTAAAAACTAATCAAGGCTTCTTCACCTTTTTAACACATTTTAAATGTCTTAAGTTGCAATTTGCTTATTATAAGACTTATTTGCTGTTTTCATACTGCTACTTATTTTTTTATTCCTCTTTTCTTCTAACTCTGTCATCCTCTAACACACCCCTCAGGTTCAGATGATGAAATCTCCAATTATATGCATCAGCGTGTTCCACACACTCATACCCCTGTTCATCAAGGAGAAGTGCAGCCAAAACAGCAACCGTATAGTCAGATTCAAAGTCAGCAGCAGACATGTCAAAGACCTGAGTACCAAGGGCAACCTCCGCAGTTCCAACAGACTGCAGCTAGTAATAAACAGCTAATCCAATCAAAACAAAAAGAGGTGCCTACTTCATCAAGATTTTTCCGAATGCTCCAGACGATCACTGATACTTTGCCTGAAGGAGCTGGTATGAGGCTCGGAATGACCCGTTATTTGCTTGGTTCCTTAAAAAAAATGACATTTCAATATCCCCCCTCCTCCCCCTACCCTATTTGTATACAAGACATAGCTGGTAGTGTTTACTGTACTGATACGCCACATCCCATGTCCTTGTGTGTACATTGTCTTTGTGATTAGCACCAGGCTCACAAACCTATCTGAATAATGCTTTACCAAATATAACTGTGACATGCATCTGCTTATATGATTGAAGCAATGGAAGATAATCCTTTAATGATTTCTTTTCACTGAGTAATATTCATAGTTTGATTTTTAACATTATTATGAAGGACTACTGTATATGCTCTGAAATTAAATTATTCCTAATAAATGTAAAGCATTTCAGTAAAATACATGCGATTTTATCAAAAACATTGCGGCACGCATTATATTTAAGATAAAGTTTTGAGTACTTTGTGTTTTGAATTTTGACAAGGTTTGGCTCGGCTAGGGAAAAGTTATGGCAAGCATTCTTTTAATGATATTTTTGAGATCTACTGTATTTTTGGTGGCCATCTCATTTAATCACTGGGCAAGGATAAGCAAGAAATGCGATAATTAAATATTGCTGGAAATGAACAAAATCATTTATATATATACAGTATAAACTTACTGGCAAGATAATCTTGACGTTCATGTTGTACGTTGATATTATTGATTACTATTATTATATTAGCTTATATAAAACTCTGCATTCTTTACTGTCAACATTATAACATAAAAAAAAATTTCTTTACTTGTTAAAATGTAAATCTGTTGTTCAATATTCGTTTATATCTTGTTGCATGTATATTTAACACACAACATTGAGGAACATTAGAAGATTACAGTAGTGGTAACATCTTTAGAAAGCTTTATTTTTCAATAAACTCACTATTAGAAAGTAGATATTAACCTTGCTAATATGTAGTTTGTAGTAGTCTAATGAATGTAAAATTAGCTGTAGTGCTTTTAACGTTTAAGTGAGAAATCCATAGTTATTTATCACTTGCCTGCTTATTAGCTGTTGTAAATTAGAAGCAAATATTTTTATTTTAATTTAGATGTTCATTTTACAAATAGATATGATGAAGTCAGAGAATTATAGTTCCAAGATCTAACAGTAATAGCAGTGAGCAGTTAATTTGTAGTTTTATATACTAAGATCAATAGTTTTAATCATCTTCTTATGCCTATCATCATAAAAGTTTGATTAAATTTAGACAAAATTACTATATTGCTGTAATGTACTGTATTTTATCTTTAACATTACGTAACATTTTTGTATCAAAAGCAACTTGTCAGTCACATTATCTTTAGATGGCTTTCTAAGCAGTTGTAGTAATAATTTAAGAACATTTAAAAACAATAATTTAAGAACTTATTCAGCCATCTGAACATTGTAACTGATATAGTTGTATTGTGATTGGTCCTCCTTCCTTCCCTGGCAAGTGTTGTTTATGTGCATTCATCCTCAACAGAACCCCAGGGACCTGTCCACATCCCGAACTTCAGACAACCACAGAAGCCTGGCCAGTACCAACAGCCTGGTCAGTACCAACAGCCTGGTCAGTACCAACAGCCTGGTCAATACCAACAGCCTGGTCAGTACCAACAGCCTGGCTTATACCAACAACCTGATCACTCCCATCAACCAGGCCAACACCAACAATCAGGTCATTATTAACCTTACTGGATTTAACAGATCTGACACAGTGTCAACAGCTACTGTATATACAATACAGTACTGTATATGAAAAAAACTAGACCATAACTAATGAACTGAATTCATTCCCCATTATAAATCTTCAGAATACTGCATAATACATTCACTTTGTTTTTATAGTTTTGTATGTGTGAGTATGTGTCCCTGTACAGTATTGTACACATGCCCCCATGAGTGTGTACCTTCTGATTCATGAGAAGCTAAGAGTGAGAATTACCCAATGTCTTCATGTATGGCTTAGCAGGTACACTTAGAAGAGATCCCCACTGCAGTAGAGAAAAGACGGTCACTCAGACCAATGCTGGAGTTAGCAATGTGTAACATCTTGCGTAAGGAAGTTAGTGACCATCTCAGATAGCAGTATTACATTTACACTCAATACAATATTTTTATATAGAGAATTATACAGGTACAGTACTATATTTAAACATTATAAAGTTGACACCATATGGTATGGTGACATGATTACAGTGGGTGAACAAAAATTTCACAATTAGAATGTGAAACTAACATATTAGATGTTTAATTCAGTATGAACCAATATTTTTCCATAGGTGATACTTAACCTTTCAAATGTGGTTAACATCGTATGTTGATTCATGGGATGATTTAAACTACTGTACTGTACTGTACTGTGCTGGGTTTTACACCAATGATGCAAATATAGATATAATAGCCCTAGATGGATGTAGTGGAGCTTACCTTGACACATGAAAAAATCTTATAATCATTTCATGATTATATTGCTATGCAAATGCAGTTATCACAAATGTTATTAGATCAATGCAATAATCATCATGGTATAACATTTAATTATACTGTACTGTACTGTACTGTACTGTAATTGCATGATATGTACACCAATTATGTTTACAACCACACAGTTGTAAAAACCATATAGTGAAGTATACCAGGTCAACCAATCATCATCTGAACATCATAAAGGAACTACAAAAAGCCTATTGTTCCATACGAGGCAGCTCTTCTTTATATCCATGATAATAAATAGGAGGTACCTCATATGGGCCAAAAGGCCTTATTCAGTTAACTCCATTCTTATAGATATATACATTCACTCATTCATGTATCCATATCAGTGTAAAGACAATCATGTAGCCACCAAGGTCAACACAGAGTTGGCTGGCTCAGCCATTGTGAATAGCCACTACTTGCTCGGTTTACTTGAAACTGGCTACCACGTAGATATTCAGTTTATTTCCACTTTTCTGTACATTTTGCATCCAAATTAATCATCCTATAGGGTTTTTCTGGAGGAGCTCCATGTTGACTCCCTCTAGCTATCTAGTTTAGATTGCTCCATTCTACAAGTCACATCAGTTGCATGAATTCTGTTTGGCCTACTGAGGACCATCTCAAGAGCAGAGGTAGGCACCTACCTAGTCCTGCCAAGGACTAGGTAGGTGCCTTCCTGTTTTCTCCTTCACGACTGCATGTTTCCTTCATACCTTTTCTTTTGGTGAATGCATTTCTTTCCTAGGCATTGGATGACAATTTTGGCTATGCCCCGGAGTTTTCATGGCAGCCTCCTGGGGCTGGGGGAGAAACCAGAATTAGCCCCTTGGATGCCCTTAGATTCTTCTTGATATTTTTTCAGTTATGAGAAGGGTCATATGCTCACAGAACAGGGATTCTCTTATCCTCCTGATCGGTATGAGCTTGATTTAACCATGGCTTTCCCATGGGTACATTTCCGTGTGCTGTTTGGTCCTGTGGATTCATCTTTCCTGAGGTTTTCTTCTTCCAGAGTCTCCCATTTGGTTGCTTGTGAAAACCTTTTCAGGTACCTCTTGCGAAATTCAGACCTTTCTTCCATAATGGATCCTGCTTCCTTTGAGTTCAGGTTGGTGTCACCTTTTTTGGCTATGTTATGAGATTTTGGACTTATAGGGCTGGGGCCACACCTGCTGTTGGTCGGGGTAGGCCCTCACAGGTGCCAAATGCTCAATTTGTGGTGCTTCCTGCAGCAACTGCACCCTCACTTGCCGCCCATCGGCACTGTTCTTTTGCATTGCAGAAGGATGGTGCTTCTCATGGTTCACATTAGCCCTTTCACAGTTCACCTCTTTGAAAATGCTGTGAGGGGGTCATTTCTTGCTTTACCAAATCCTGGTTGTAAGATTCATGAGCATTTTGAGTGGTTTTTCTTGGAATTTCTTGTTGGTCAGTTCCGCCCCAATTTTGGAGTCAGGGCCAGGGGATCAGCTTTCTTCCCCTCTGCTGTGTTAGATTATTGCAACGTTATTGGACATAGAGGTAGTTGAGCAGATCCCATTTGTTCAGTCCCCAAGAGGGACTTGTAGGACATGTGGTTCATCCTTGATCTTTCAGGTCTGAGGAACTTCATTCCCTGTCCAACCTTCTGCATGACCACTTTAGCCCAAGTCCACCTGGTTCTTTAACCAGGGGCTTGAATGGTATCCCTGAATCTCCTGGACTCATACTGGCACAATCTTATCCATCCAGGGTTGAAGCAATGGTTAAGTTTTGTGCTGGGGTGGCATGCTTACCACTTTCAGGATCTGCCCTTCAGCTTCAATCTGGCACCCTGTATTTTCAGGGAGAAAAACCTCCCAGAAACCCAACATTGAATGTTTTGGAACGTCTCTTTATGGTAGCATTGTTATGGGTCCCGGTCACCCCTCCCTCCCTCCCCTTCCACATTCATTGAGTAATTGCAGCTTTTAATCTGCTCTAGAACTGATTTGGATAGCTGATGTTGAACTCAGATCCAGGCTTCCTGGTGGCAGCATTCAGTACTAGCAGGTTCTAGCTAGTTTCATCCATTTTCTCTTGCTTATTTTGAATCATTTGGGGAGCTTGTTTGGCAGTTTCGTGGCTTTAAGCCTTGTGAACCCAGTATTTGTCTGAAAGCTTCCCTTACTTTCTGGATGCTTTCCCATTGAAATGACAGAATGCCATTTGTTCTCTGTACCTCGAGTGAGGAGAGCCAGGCTCTGCACTGGTCCCCAGTAGGTCAAAAAGAACTGGTGCAACTGATTTCACTTGTAGAATGGACCAATCTCGGTGAGATAACTACAGGAAGCCATTGGGACTATACCAGAAAGAGGCAATTCATTACATTCAACGCTTTTTTATTTTCTACACATGCATGCAAATTCATAGCTACCTGCATGTTAAGGGTTAATAAAGTTATGAATTATGAGATACAAACAGGAAATTATTTAAAAGCTCTGAGAATATTAACAATAAGACTCAACAGGATGTTTAAGATGGATAAAAAGGTCTACTACACACAAAGTCATACAGTATCATTAACAAAGAATATGTACAGTATATGCCCATGTACAAGTCGACCCAGCGCATAGGTCGACTAAAAATGCCCTAAAAATTTAGAGGTGCCGTTCAGGTTTAGGTCTCTATTCATTGCATAAGATGACCCCCAAAACAAGGAAGCACAACTTCCCCTTCCCCACTGTATGGAAAGAAAAAACTATGGTATTTCATAAATATACGGTAACTTAACGAATATTTACCACATAAGGCAGGTAGTGTCAGTGTTGTCAGGGGAGGCAGGTGGTGTCAGTGGTTGTCAGGGGAGACAGGTGGTGTCAGGGGAGGCAGGTGGTGTCAGTGGTTGTCAGGGGAGGCAGGTGGTGTCAGTGTTGTCAGGGGAGGCAGGTGGTGTCAGTGGTTGTCAGGGGAGACAGGCGGTGTCAGAAGAGGCAGGTGGTGTCAGGGGAGGCAGGTGGTGTCGGTGGTTGTCAGCGGAGGCAGGTGGTGTCGGTGGTTGTCATGGGAGGCAGGTGGTGTCAGTGGTTGTCATTGGAAGCTGGTGGTGTCAGTGGTTGTCATTGGAAGCTGGTGGTGTCAGTGGTTGTCAGGGAAGGTACGTGGTGTTAGTGGTTGTCAGGGGAGACAGGTGGTGTCAGTGGTTGTCAGGGGAGACAGGTGGTGTCAGTGGGTGTTGTGGGAGGCAAGTGGTGTCAGTGGTTGTCGTGGGAGGCAGGTGGTGTCAGTGATTGTTATGGATGGCAGGTGGTGTCAGTGGTTGTTAGGGGAGACAGGTGGTGTCAGTGGTTGTCATTTGAGGCAGGTGGTGTCAGTGATTGTTATGGATGGCAGGTGGTGTCAGTGGTTGTTAGGGGAGACAGGTGGTGTCAGTGGTTGTCATTTGAGGCAGGTGGTGTCAGTGATTGTCATGGAAGGCAGGTGGTGTCAGTGGTTGTTAGGGGAGACAGGTGGTGTCAGTGGTTGTCAGGGGAGGCAGGTGGTGTCAGTGATTGTTATGGATGGCAGGTGGTATCAGTGGTTGTCAGGGGAGGCAGGTGGTATCAGTGGTTGTCAGGGGAGGCAGGTGGTGTCAGTGGTTGTTAGGGGAGACAGGTGGTATCAGTGGTTGTCAGGGGAGGCAGGTGGTGTCAGTGGGTGTTGTGGGAGGCAAGTAGTGTCAGTGGTTGTCGTGGGAGGCAGGTGGTGTCAGTGATTGTTATGGATGGCAGGTGGTGTCAGTGGTTGTTAGGGGAGGCAGGTGGTGTCAGTGGTTGTCATTTGAGGCAGGTGGTGTCAGTGATTGTCATGGATGGCAGGTGGTGTCAGTGGTTGTTAGGGGAGACAGGTGGTGTCAGTGGTTGTCAGGGGAGGCAGGTGGTGTCAGTGGTTGTCAGGGGAGGCAGGTGGTATCAGTGGTTGTCAGGGAAGGCAGGTGGTGTCAGTGGTTGTCAGGGGAGACAGGTGGTATCAGTGGTTGTCAGGGGAGGCAGGTGGTGTCAGTGGTTGTCGTGGGAGGCAGGTGGTGTCAGTGATTGTCAGGGGAGACAGGTGGTGTCAGTGGTTGTCAGGGGAGACAGGTGGTGTCAGTGGTTGTCAGGGGAGACAGGTGTTGTCAGTGGTTGTTAGGGGAGACAGGTGGTGTCAGTGGTTGTCATTTGAGGCAGGTGGTGTCAGTGATTGTCATGGATGGCAGGTGGT